CTATTCACCAAATACTTGCCCACTCAACACAAATAAAATGAAATATGAGTGTTCCTAATATGCACTCTAAAACAGTCGACAAGGGAGGAATTAATTTATCAAGAAGGAGTAAGCAAGAACCTTCTCATGGTCCTGCTCCACTTTTCTAAGTATCCTAAGCACCTACATTTTTCACTCCCATAATGATATTTAGCTGTGACTTTTGTGTGTGTCTTCTTTCTTATAATGTGCATCATTTATCATATTATGATTTATTTCAGGACCTCAGAGGCTCTGTGTTAAAAGTATGCAAACTTTTGGGGAAAGAATTGAGTGAAGAGGACGTGGATGCTGTTGTGAGACAGGCCACGTTTGAAAACATGAAGAATGACCCACGAGCCAATTATGACAATAAACTCAAGGCCCATTTTGGGATACAAAAAAAAGGTCATTTCCTTCGCAAAGGTGATGTTGAACAATAAATGCTTGGCTATCTTTCACTGTGATACAAACATACCGAAGTGTAGCTTCTAAGCTTTCCTGATGTGGAGCTGCTATGGCCCTGTTCCCTTCCCTACACAGTTGATTTTCCATGATTTCTTCTTGGTGCTCTTCAAGAGACTATATTATTTGGTCCCAGAATGTGTCTGGATGAATAGCCTAAAGTTGCAAGGCCTTCTCCTTGGCCCCTGGAAATCTACCAATGCCTATCACCATGTCTACCACAAAAGGGATGTTCATTTAGTGTTAGACTATTTTCCCCCAGTACAATGGGCTAGGCACATGATGATGAATTAATGGTGGCACAGTTGGCCATCACTGGCTGTTCTTCCATCTCTGTGATTTAGTCTGAACCTCGTCCAGGACTGAATTAACAACACATATTCACTATTCTTTTGTTACTGGGGAGGACTATTATGTATACATATAATAGTATACACACACACACACACACACACACACACATATAATAATATAGTATACATAATAGTCCTGCCCAGTAACAAAAGAATCTTCCATCATAAAAATGTATAGGAATATCTCCTTTATCTCAATATGATACCTCTGGTGAGTGCATTTTTAAATGAATGATTCCTTCATATAAATGATAAATGTGAACATGTTAGAATATTTTTATTATTTTATAAATTATTCTAAGTTAAAATGTATGATCTTCTTAGTACCTGGAAAATCGATAATACAGAATTATTGACATAAATTTTACACTTAATCAGAATGTTTTATGCCTCCACACCAATCGCAATAAATAGTGGCTTAAATACATTAGTATTTCCTTCACTTAACTACTTTGTACATCTTCACCCATTCAATTAAAAAATGTGAAACACTGGTAACTTGGAGCCAACCTGAAGTGGGGACATGCCCTTCCCTTTACCCTCAGCGCATCCTGTCATGTTGTAGATGCTACAATCCTTCTCCAATGCCATCATCATGGCACTTGCATTTTTTTTTCTTTGAAAAAAGAAAATTTTCTGTGGTTACACATCTGTAACACACCTGAAAAACGAGAGACTGAAATGGCCAAGACAACAAATAGGAGAAGCCAAATTTCCTTACGGAAATGATGCACATTCCCTTGTTTCTTCTGCACATACTTTTCTCTTAGATGTTATGAAGTGTAATGTCATTTGTACTGGCTTTACCACTCTTGCACAAATTGTGTTTGTGTTTTCAGTTTCATTAGCATTGAAGCTGGTTTATTTATTTGTTTACACTTTAGCATGATTCTACTCAGTGTTTCTTGCCTCTCCTTCTATCAACCTCTACTTGCCATCCCAACTCTGTGTCTGTAAGTTTAAAGTAAGATTGTTGTAAACCTACACTGGGTACAGATGGAATAATTACAGGTGGGCCATTCCAAACTGTATGAGCTTGGAATATATTTTAAAAATCTCTCTGAGCATCCATGTCCTCATCAGTAAATATTTGTCTAATGATATCTGATTTTTGGAATTTTTAAGGACTTCTGTAAACTACAATAGCCCATGTTAGCTTGAAACAAAATAGTCAACAAGTTGCAAGAGTTTTCTCGTTTGTCAGGTAGCTGACAGCTCAGGGCTTGAGCTAATTACCTTAAATTACCTAATTGTGATGAGTTTTCTTTTCCCCTTGCCATAAAGTGGCAGAGAAAAGGGCCATTGCCATGTGTAGGAGCAACAGGGGCCTTACTAGGGAGGAAAATGAATGTCCAAAAAATGGTGTTTCTCCCAGCACTAAGGCATCATGCCTCCTCCTCCCAGAATCTGCCTTGAAGCAATTTCTTTGCTGTTCCTCCCAGGTACGATTGGAGACTGGAAAAATCACATGACTGCTGAGCAGAATGAAAAGTTTGACATGCTTTTCCAAACGAAGATGAAAGATATCCCCTTGAAGTTCATCTGGGATATGAATGAAGAATAGATTTCTTAACAATGCACAAATATTTTTACGGAACTTCTTTCAAGAAGGAAATATATTGAATTGTACACTTTCTGGAATAGTTTTTACCTTAAGTTCAGAAATTCCAAAGCCTTGAACCACAAAGGAGACCATAACATGTGATTGATTTGACATCTTAAAATAGAAGCCTTGTCATTTATAAAACTACTTATGGTCTTTTTTCATATTTAAGATTTTAATTCTTAGGTAATCAAATGAGTCAGCCTTTCATTTTATGGCTTCTAGGATTTGTGTCCAACTAGGAGTGTTGCTATCACAAGTAT